GAACTGACTTTTTGTCTTTTTGTTTTGTTTTGTTTTATTTTCATTTTTTTATGGCTTAATGAGAGCAGTGAGCTTTAGGCTGCCCTGCAAGGCTTTAAACCTGGGTTTAGATGATCAAAGGCGTAGCCAGAACATTTTGAAAAAGGTGGCCTGGCAGTAACCAATGTACGCTGAGGGGTGGTTGAAAGTAGATCGGCACCAGAACCTCAGGGTCAATCTATACTGATCCAACAGGAAAATGAAGAATAAATTCAAATAAAGACAAACTATATGTTCCTCCAACCTTTGCTAACTAATAGACACATATATTTAAACATCCTTGCTTCTTAGTTATAAGTCATAGTGGATAAAGTTCTTTCAGGTTTGATTTCTGGGGCGAACATCTTTTCCATTGCTTAAAATTGATATTTAAAATGACTAATATTTGCAAAAAAATTGTATTGACGTATAAACATAAATATGTTTATTTACGTTTAAAAATATTACGTATTTAAGTTTTTATTAAAATAATTATTTATCTACAGTGTTGGGCACGTTACTTTGAAAAAGTAATTAGTTATAGTTACTAGTTACTTCTCCCAAAAAGTAACTGAGTTACTAACTGAGTTACTCCACAATAAAAGTAACTAGTTACTAGTAAAAGTAACTATTGCGTTACTTTTGCGTTTCTCGCCCCCGTAACCCTCACCACCCAGCCCCCACCTTCTCGCCGTGTGTTTCCAAAGCCAGCTGAATAGAGTGGACGACAAAGACAAGAACCTGCAGACAGTTTAGCATTTATTGCAACTCAATGTAAATGACATCAGGGGGGAACGCGATGTGAAGTTTTATAACAGGACATTCAGATCCGGTGAGTATATGAAATTAATAACTGGGGATGTCTAATTCTGAAATCCTCTGTGTTTGGGTTGTTATAGATAATGCAACATCTATCTATCCATCTATCTATCTAGATGTATACTCTGTGTGTGACATAAAATATGGATCTCCATCCCTGCCACAAAGGCCATCAAATAATGTTTAAAATAAAAAATACAGTAGGTTGAGAAGTCAGAGTATCCATCCATCCATCCATCCATCCATCCATCCATCCATCCATCCATCCATCCATCCATCCATCCATCCATCCATCCAGATTTCTCCCTTTCATTTGATCGTTCACGCTCTCCATAGTTCTCCTGTGGCGCGAGCACAGGGCGACTGTTGCGCGCCTTTAGCGAGCATGCGCGTTTCCTGTCGCTTGCGCGGTGACTCTTCCCGCCTGCGCTGTGTGGAGATGCAGAGGAAACCGTTATGTGATGGGGAAACGCAGCTCTACATAACACCGGTATTTCCATGTGGAAAACGCTGTTTTGCTGCTGGAGTCATCCTCACTCTCCATCTCTCTGTGTGTGCTGTACGTTAACACCCACCAGCAGAAACACCCACCTATTCAACTGACAGACGGAATCTCATCCTCCCCTCTCTCATGACAAGGCGCGCACCTCTGGATGACCTAAAATAAATCTTTAATATCTCTTAAACAAATGTAGCACAAACAATATTTTTTTCTGCACAAATCTGCACTAACGTTGCACTAACCATTCAGTCTATTTGCAGAGTTTTTTGACGTGGGTGGGGTGTCAGCTTCACGCAGCTGCGCACGAGTCCTATCATGAAAAAAGGTTCATTGTGCGACCTGTGTAACGCGCAGTAACGGGGTGCCTGCAATGGTAACTGCGTTATAGTTACAGTCAAAGTAATTAGTTAGATTACTCGTTACTAAAACAAGGTAACGGCGTTAGTAACGCCGTTAGTTTCAACGCCGTTAGTCCCATCACTGTTTATCTATGATTAACTGAAGACTCCTAGATGACTTGTATTTTCTCTTTACCCCATATAACAAAATCTAGTTCTGAAAAGAGCATGAATTCTGTACTTATCATCTTTAATGTTAGCATATTAATGTGCATAATTAATCACAGTGTTTTTGTTGTCAAGTAATGTAGTTAATGTATGAAAAATTAAAATGTCTTGATTATTGAGAGTGTTACGGCTGCCACTGTCTGTATTATAGGGAAAAAATGGTAGGGATGGCCGAAGGGGTGGCCAATGATTGGCTATGGGTGGCCATGGCCACCCCTGGCCCCCCATCTAGCTCCACCCCTGTAGATGATAACAAGCCATTCTCAAGCACTTCCAGGCTCATTCATGAGCTTATATACCTATTACCAAAAATAAAGAATGTTTAATTAAATGATTGGATGCAAACTATTGGTACTTCCACATACCAGGATATTTATTTTTTTCTAAGAGGCTTAAAAGTTTAATCAAATCCAGTCAAAACACCCAAGAGCACCTCCCACAACTTCAAAAGAAACAGCTCATCTCAGGCATGGATGAAGAGATGCTGAGTTTGGAAGCAGAGAAAAACATAGTTCATACAAACCATGGATGATCCTAGTTATCCCTGTTACAAAAATCCACAACAAAACTAAAATATTTGGGTAGAAACTGAACACATGCTGTATGCTGATGGTGGGGACTTTTTTAAATATGTCATAGTAAATTAAGCGTTCATTTCTGCATGTTTTGCTTCTGAATTTAATATTAATATCACGCATGCTCTCCTTGAGCTCCGAGGAAGTCGGAGCAGATCAAGACGGGATGAGTAGTCCATCCCCCTAGAAGGTGTTTGGCTCAATGGTCCATGAGTTATCTTTACTACTGACCACAGAGCTGAAAGCCAATTTTACTCCATAGTGTTATATTAAGTATAATATTAAGGATACACTTGGTATTTTTGGTTATTTAAGCCTATTCTGGTTTTATTTTGGTTTATTCACTGCAATTTTATCAGGCCAGCTATTGTTATTTCAATAAATTAATAAATTAATACTAACTGTATGTGTGCAACCCCATCACTAAAATGGACCTACAATGAATTAATATCCACTTAATGTTATGGCTCATTGGAAAGTAGCCATTGTGTTGATATTATTTATCTATGGTAGGAGATCACTAGGCTATTAGGCCTGATCCCAACACTGCACAGCTCTGCCATGTTGCCTACTGGTGGCGTTGATCATATTTCTGCTCCTCCTCTGATTGAATATAAGCAGGGACCCTCCATTCTATGGACCATGGTGTAATGAGGGGTCTGTCCCTGGATCAATCCCTGACGAAATAGCAGAGGTCCCTGTTGGTCTGCACAGACCATTAAGCCAGAGGCCCTTTTGGCGAGATGGACCACTCATTACACAGTGGTCCGGACCACTGATTCAGACACCTGAGTGGGGCAGACCAATCATTTTTGGACACTGCTGTTAATAAGTATGATCTTTGGGTAGGCCTATTAAAGCAGCATGAATAAAATAGGAAATGAAGAAGGATATCAAAGAACCTTTTAGTGATACAAGCACTCAGGATATTAAAAGGATTATCAATTAACAGTAAGTCCAATAACACACAGTTGTCACACACATAATGTTAATATATTCATTAACTACAAGGTGCAACAGGTAACCTATTGTATGAACCAAAATGCAATAAGAATACATATTTAAACAAAGACCAAAAATTAGGTTGTCAGTTGGAAAATGATGGAATAGGAATTGCCACTGAGCCAGGCGCCTTCTATGGGGGCAACCACTCATTACACTATGGTCCTTAAGGGCCAGCAGAGAAACCAGTTAGCCAGACGCCCTCTGGCGGCAGGGACCAATAAACACCCCCCCGGTACAGTGGTCCTGACCAGAACATCATTTTCTCTACAACCCCTTCTATTTTTTTTTTAAAGAAAAGGTTTTTTGGTTTATTATTGTGAAGAGGAGGGATCATATATTAATAAAAAAAAACTTCACAGACATTTTTTGATACATTTAATTCACTATTTGTTAAAAAGTTACACATAGATCCATTTTATTGGGGGAAAAGAAAACAGCAGGGCATTAATTGAGTTCCCTGAATTTTCATAAAATTCAGAAATAACTATGATTACCATAATATGTGTATCATATATGTTTGCAATCTAACTACAATTATACAGATCAGGGCATTACAATCTATTGCTGTTAGTTGAGGCATCAGGGATGGGTACGTCTGCAGGTGAACCAGTAGCATCCTTCTGCATCAGACGCCTGGATACAGACCACACAGGCAGGCCCTGATTCCCATCATCATGACAACAGGGATGCAAGACAACCAATCAAAGCCCCGCTAACCCTTTCCTGGAAGCTGATTGGTCTTCCAGCCTACAGCCTGTTGTGGAATGTCCATCTTTAACCTCTCTAATGCCACGCTCCCATATCTTCTCATACTGTCCATTATAGCTACATATGTCCTGCACTGGAATATAGCTTAAAGAACAAGCTGTCGTTGGTTTGATCTGTTTGAATTATGGCATTTATTACATATAGAAAAGTGGAGGAAAAAAATAAACCCAAGACACTGGCATAAATACTAAGTTAATAAAGGTAAACAGTATTTTTTTTGTACCATATTTCTTAATAAGGGGATCCAAATTTCTGGGAGATTCTTCAAAAAAGCAATGTTATTGTCAAATAAGCTATTATAATGTCTTATTATATAACATTTCCGGTGCTTAGATACAGACATACATCTGATGTTCCATAATTTAAGGAAGATAAGATACAATATTAGAGATGACTGGGGTCTATTTATAGAAGACAGATTAAGACTGAAACGGTTAATCAGGTTAGGGGCTCAGAGAGGGGCTGGGAGTGAATAAAGAGAAACACAGGAAAAGCCCAGCAGCCGTTTATCTTCTAAAATCACAAATGCTTCGGGTCTAATGTCGTGTTGATGGGTATAATGTGTATGGCTCAGCCTGGCTGCCACACACCTCAGCTGGATGTCACACCATCGCCTTAACAGGGAGAAAGCTGCAGTCAGTCACTGGATATAAACACCGCTCACGACCAGGTTAAATGATTTCAATCGTTTCTGGGTTTCTTTTTTTTATAATCTAAAATTTTCCTTGTAAGTGAAGGAGGAGGTTTTATCCGTCGCCATTTTTAGGGAAACTTTACAGGCAGTCGTTAGCCGCTAGCGCCTTCTTCCAGCCAGCTCCCATTGACAGTTAAAGCTCTGCTGTCGTTAGCTGCTAGCATTGCTTTGCATTAAATAGTTTGTTATTCCCGCTGTCAGAGCCAGTCAGCACAGCCGGAGAGACACGAATATAGTTCATATGGAGAATTAGAAAAGAATTGAAGCCAGTTGCGTTTATCTTTTTATTTTTTATTTTTGGGTAGTGCAGTTATGGTTTTTGGTTAACAACTTAGCATTGCTATCTTGAACAACAGGCGAATTTCCCACTTTGATTTCCCCGAGCTGCATTGGCAGTCTGTGATTTTTAGCCACCCTGGGCTCCTGCGGGTAGAGATATTGGATTATTCTGCCTCGTATCCCATCACCCCATGTGTTTTTTTCCTGTTTGTCGGTGAGTTTAACCTTTATATTAAAGCTTGGTGACTTAGTTGGTAACAGTTGGAGGCTTGTTTTCTTTTCAACCCCTATTAGCATCCGAGCTAGCCAGCCAGATTTACTGCTATCCGCCTGCTAACAGAAAGTTATTGCTCTGTTCCCCTCGGCAGATTTGAGTTTTTTTCTACTTGGAAAGAAAGGGAGCAGAGATGATTTAATATGTAGAAATGAATAAATAAGAATATATATTTTACGTTTTAGTATTCATAGTTGGTCTCAACATGCAGGATTTAAGGGCTTATTGGAGATGTAAATAATGGGAACAGATCGCTTTATCATATACGTGTTGGTTGGATGCGGTTAGTTCGCTAATCCGCTTTCTGCAGCTATCGTTACACGCCGTGCCACTCCCTCGGTTTTTGTTTTTGTCCAGCGTAGCTTTACGCTAACGTCAAATCAAGCTCGGCTTCGGATGTGTTTTCGTTTAGAAGGTTATCCGCAAAAGGATAACATGAGTCATCCATTACTGTGAATGATTAGTCGGTGACATCCTCTCATATATATGCCCCCCCTTCCCATAGGTTGCATGTCACGGCTGTGTGTGTTTACAAGCGGCAGTGAAGGAAAACGAATCACTGCCCTGATCGTTAGAGAGGCTAGCGGCGGATCCATCGGCTGCTGATCGCTGTTTTTATGCGCTGACGTGAGTCGCATTCCTCAGCTTTGTGTTGCGTAACTGCCTAGCATCGACTAAGTTATCCATGGCACAGTGGATCAGATACATAAGGAGCGTTGTGTACAAAATCGGTTTATGATAAGGCGTTTGGATACGTATACAGAGGATTGAGGCCGCTTAAATGTTATATCAGTACTATAACTAAATGTACCTGACCACCCACACCTTTTACAGCAGTCAAGCAAACACTGCAGTATAAAAAAGCTCACATTTAAACAGTTTTAATGCAGTCTTTATGCTAATTTGGACATGTTTCTTGACTTCCTGCTGTTTCTTTTATTGTATCACTGTGTGATTTCTCAAAGTAAAAGGCTCAAACTGTAGCCCCTTTAGTTTGGAGTTTTGTTGTTTACTTGTCAGCTGTGCATCAGCCAGTACTACATGCAGCACTAAATGCGGTTTAGTTTAGATGCAGCCATCGATAGTCTGTTATACAGGATGAGCATCCATGTTTCCCTAAACGAAATTGATACAAGATTATTTTATTGTTCCCCTGCTGCCTGATGACTACTTCCTTGTCTTCATGTGTTAGAGGAGTTTGTCAGTCTGGCGGTTATAATGCAATAGCAATGTTTTTGTTTTTTAAGCTGGCTAGAGGTGTCTAGTAACGAAGTACAAATACTTTTTTACTGTACTTAACTACAGTTTTTAGGTATCTATACTTTACTTAGTTGTTTTTCTTCCTACTTCTGACTTCTAGTCCTTACATTTTTTAAAACAAATGTTACTCGTTACTCCTGGCTTCGGTTTAATGTTTATAAATATTTATTTCGCGTCATATGAGCCGTCCAATGGAGGTCATTGGCGCTATCCACATCAAGTGAGAACTGGTGTAATTGGATGAGTCATATAACGCAAACACTCATTGGTTAGCTAAAGGAAATAATCAGAAGCGAGCAGGTGTTCTTCAAACTGCAAACGTGAATTGTCTATGCCATGCTACACTATGGATTCAGAAAAAGATGCTGAAATGTCTGAAAGGTCGGATAAGGCGAGAGCGTATTGGGAGATGGAGTCCAACAAGACCTCTCTCATCCTTGGCCCTATCTCAAAGAGTTTTTCGAAATAGTCGAAAAATTGAGCTTTCAGTTTATATAGTGGCATCTGGCTGGTTTTTTTTGTTTTTTTTTTAAAGGTTACTTTACACTTTTATACTTTAAGTAGTTTTTGGAGCACATACTTTTTCACTTTTACTTAAGCAAAGAAGTCAAGTTGATACCTTAACTTTTACCAGAGTGTTTTTAAACTGCAGTATCTATACTTCCACTTAAGTAACAAATGTGTGTACTTTTGACTCCACTGATGCTGCCTATGTATTCCAGTAACCATTAAAGGAATAGTACACCCAAAACATGATTAGCCTTCATTTTCTACTCACCCCCATGCTGAACAACACTCTGGAGTACTTTTTTGATATCTCAAATGCATCTGGAGATCTGGGAGGCTTCTTGCTGTTTGCTGACATTCAAATAATGGAGGTCTATGGCGCCCGAGGCAGAAAGGTCCATAAAAGTCCACAAAAAACGTGTCAATATTCCTCCATACTGTCCATAATTTACTCGAAACAAAGTCATTTAGAATGTTTTTAGAGCATAAACAGTAGTGTAGAGGATTTCCTAAAAGCGCGTTCACGAGTCTACGGAAACCGCGGCAGACCAAACCAGATGAAAGTGCGCATTCAGCTCGGCAAAGAACTCATGCTCTTCCTCAACACTGAAGTCCTCAGACATTTTTCTTTTGTTGTTTCTTTCTTTGCACATGTAAACAGCACATTTCGTCTTCTACGCTTGCATTATCGGCAGAGCAGACGCTGAATGCGCACTTTCGTCTGGTTTGGTCTGCCGCGGTTTCCGTAGACTCGTGAACGCGCTTTTAGGAAATCCTATACACTACTGTTTATGCTCTAAAAACATTCTAAATGACTTCGTTTCGAGTAAATTATGGATGCTACCCACTCAGGACACTTGGAATACATTGGACGACCAGTATGGAGGAATATTGACACGTTTTTTGTGGACTTTTATGGACCTTTCTGCCTCGGGCACCATAGACCTCCATTATTTGAATGTCAGCAGACAGCAAGAAGCCTCCCAGATCTCCAGATGCATTTGAGATATCAAAAAAGTACTCCAGAGTGTTGTTCAGCATGGGGGTGAGTAGAAAATGAAGGCTAATCATGTTTTGGGTGTACTATTCCTTTAAGATCCCTTTTGTTTATTTAGTTTTCTCTATCTCTAGAGCAGGGGTTCCCAAACATATCAGAATGTGCCCCCAAAAATAACAAAACAACAGACTGGAGAACACCTAAAATAAATAAATATAATTACTTTAAATTTATTAATACATATAAAGTTAAGTAATAATGTTGAATTTTATCTAAATCAATTTTAAATTATATTTAATCATCCAGGTCATAATTTTAAATGTTATATTTAATTAGAAATTTAATTACTCCTTTGTGCATTTTACAACATAATGGTGTATTTAAATATTTTTTTGATTTATATATAAATACGTTTTGTTTCATCTACTAATTTTATGTGACATTTATGATATATTTTGGCCCTCTATCTATCTCAGGAATCACTCTGGGATTGGGAGAGCCATCTCACGACCCCCAGCGGTCCTGACCCCTACTTTTGGAACCTCTGGTCTAGATATAAAGTTGTTTAAGAAAATACATCAAAACCTTTGACAAGCTACAAGTGGCATGTGTGTTGCCGGATAATTCCCTGAGGCCAGCTGGATAAAAATCTATTATGTATTATATAGAAGATGATTAGTCTAAATTCTGAATTCTTTGTATGGTACTATAAATGAAAGTTAATTTAGGTTTCAGAGAACAATAATAAAATGGTAACAAGCAACGTCAGAGGAATAATAGCTGCTTCTTTCCACTTGAATAATAATAAAAAAATCTGCTCAGCTTTCTAATATAAACCTTAAACTATTGTATTTTGAGTCAAAGTTATTATGGTGCGATGATCACATCTTAGAGGCATATGTAGAAATGAACCGATCCAATACCTGAATCGGATTTCCATGATTTGATATTGGATATCAGAGATCCAATCCAGTGCATTTTACATGGAACTCTTTAAAAAAAATTTTTTTTTTTTGCTTATTTGTTAATTATTAGTATAAAGTACATTTATATCCGTGTTAATTTGTTACCTTTTTTTAACAACATTATGTCAAGGCTAAAATCTTCACTGGCATGGCAGGACATATGGTTCATTCATTTAAAGTCGTAGGGAAGTCATATTTAAATGTCAAATCATTCTGGCTTAAACATGTATATAAATGTACTCTTTGTCAGTCCATATTTTTCCAAAAGGTAGAAAATTTCGTAAAAAAAAAAAAAAAAAAAATCTGTCTTAAAATCAGTGTTTTTTTTGTGTTGTTTTTTATTTTATGCAGACCAGTTAGTTATATGTCAGCTTGTATACCTAAATTTGGCATCGGGCATCTGTCAATCAAATGTTTTCGGTCATAGCATCTTGCCTAATACGTTGCAGAAAATATACACAACGGTTGAAATAAGAAACACGAATCGTTTTTTGTTGCATGTTTCTGCTGTCCATAGCGTTTCTTGACAGTGTCGTTTCTAAGTCACCAATTTAGTTCTACTTGGTCCCAATATAATTTCCCATTGGGAACCTACAAGCACTAAGTTGCTAACTGCTTACCAAGATGCTTCCGACTAATCGGCCACAACCAAACTTGCTGCAAACCTTCCGCCACAACAATCCCGCTCCGTTGATAATCGACCAATCAGATTCACTTTATTATATACTCGTGTAAATCCGGGCACCACTCAGGAGAATTTGGAACTGAAACTGTTGGAACAGTCGCTTCCCTACGACTTTAACAGTTGAATCGGAACTGTAACGGATATCAGCCAATACCGTTCGCCCAGGTATTGGATTGGATCAGAAAAATCTGGATCGTTGCATTACTATTTATATGTAGGTGTGTCTATTATCTATTGAGACATTATTTGTACAGCATATTTTATCTTTTAGTGAAGAAAATCAAATCTTAAACCTGAATTTGAATCTTCTTGTTTGTCTCCTGTTGGCAAGGAGAAGTCTTGCAAAGTTTTATCTTGCTGAGCAAGGGAGTGTAGCAACAGGTAGGGGAGGGGTTGGACTGAATTAATGTAAGGTCATTATAGTCTTGGAAAAAGTCCAGTAGCTCTGTCACCTTTTCTCTAAAAGAACTGTTGATTATAGGACGCCTATCACATAAATGTTTTCTTATTCTGTCATGTATAAACA